AGACTATTCTCTCCCCCATAGACTTCAATGCCGTAAACATATTTCATCCAGTTTTTCTCAGTCTTACCCCCACCCCAATGCCAGCCTCATTCTAAGGAGGAGGTTCTTAGGGGTTAAAAAAATTGAGACTCCTGGAGTCATAACATTCATTCTCATTTTAGTTGGTCTCTAGATTTGGACTACCTTACGAAGATTCTTACTAGGTATGAGTATTATATAAATATTAAAATGTATCTTCAACCTCTTGCTCAGGCCACATGATATGAGCTCATTGTGTTTATGCTGCCTTCTCTTGCCACACCCTTGTGCGTTTCCCTGTGTGTTGGTTCATCTTTCTCCCTCTGTGGATTTATCCAGAGAACTATAGACACTTTGACACCCTCTTTGGAACACAGAATGAAAAAGAAGTTACATGTTCAAGACTTGAATGTCTAGCCCTACTTTTGCCTCATCCTTGTTTCCCCTTCTTGGCTTCCTTTATAATTTCCTTCGTTTCTTCGTCCATCTTTTTTGTTTTCACTCCCTTTATTTTTTTAACCACCCCCTCACCCCTCCTCCTTTCTTGTTATCTGCTTACCGGTCCTGTCTTGCTGCTGATTGGCCTAGCTTCTGACAGACCTGTCAGAGTAGCTGTGGGTGTGTGCCAGGGTGTGCAAATAGGTGGTGTTCTCCACTTGATTTATAGATTGTTACTGGATAGCAGGAACTAAGACTCATATACAAGCTAGTGACCTTTTGTCCTTGATTTTTAACTCTTGGCATCACATTTTAGAGATCAAGCATAGTCTCCACAAGTCGAAAATTAAGGCATGTGCAAAAAATACAAGAGGCATATTTGGTCTTAGTCTCTAAGAAGTCACTGAATGGTACTAATTATTTAGAAAACATGCACAAACAGAAAAGATTCTAGTGATTTCAGAGCCTGAGGTTGATGCTCCTGAGTTCTGCCATATTCCACTGAACTTAGAATCCCGGGCTGTGGTCCTTTCTAGTAAAGCACCAAAGATTTTTCAGAGTTCTTTTTCCTCACAGGGTGCACATGCCCAAGTTATCTCTGCTTGTCCTATCTCATATTAAACCAGAATGTGTGAAATCTAAAGTGAATGGTCTTTAAAAAAAAAAAAAGAAAAATATATACGTGTAGGTATAGTCTATACTTTTTTTAAAAAATTTTGCCTTATTGATGTTCATTTCCTTTACTAATAAAAGTGGAAGAAAAGAAAACACAGAATTATGTATAGGAAATAAAAAGCAAATGATTCATTAGGAAACAGAAAGATATCTGGGTTAGACATCTGGTTACTGGGACAGGATAGGAAGATTGGAGGTAGGAGATGATGAAGTAAGGTTGCTAATTCTTGGGGTTAGGAAGTCCAGGAGAGTGTGCTGCAAGATTGCTTAAACCCTATGTCCAATAGCCCTGATACCTGCTCTGCCCTGTGCCAATCTCCCTGTCTCAGACACACCTACCCTCATTACCCCAGTCACTGAATCCATCCATCTCATCCAGGGTCTTCCTCTTCTGCTCTGTCCTTTCACCCGCCCAAGCATGATGTCCCTCTCCAAGGACTGGTCCCTCCTTGCAACATGTCCAGAGTATGAAGCCTCAGAATCCTTGCCTCCATGGAGCAGCCTAGTTTCACCCTATCTAGGATGAACCTGTGCGTCCTGGCAGTCCACGGCATATTCAGTACTCCAGCACCAAAGAGAAAGGACTAGTACTTGGAAAATATGGGCGTGGTGATAGAAATTAAGCTAGAAATAGAATGATCAAATTTTTTTCTTTTCAATGATTGATTTATTTTTTGCAAATACCCTTTTAAAAAGACACAGATGGTTACTTTATACGTGGACCTCACCTGCTGGGTCGCATAGAAATCAGATTGACTATGTTTGTGGAAGCAATCATTGGAGAAGCTCAATATTGGCAGTTTAAATTAGGCCAGGGGCAGACTGTGGGTTAGACCATTAATTACTCATGTATAAATTCAAACTGAGGCTGAAGAAAATTTTAAAAGTTCACAAGAATGAACTTATGATTTAAATCTGTTACATCTGAAGTTGAAGATCGTCTTAAGAATAGGTTTACAATCCTATATACAGGTACAATACCAATACAGATACCAAATTCATTTTTCAAAGAGAGAGAAAAGGCAGTTGCCAAGTTTATTTGGAAAGGAAAGAGACCTTGAATAAACAAAGCACCTCTGAATAACAAGAGTGAAGTGGGAGGCATAGCACTCCCTGATCTCATAACTTACTAAGTGTGATAACCAAAACATCATGGTACTGGTACAATGACACATAGACCAATGGAATAGAATAGAGAACCCAGAAATTAATCTATGTTCAACTGATATTCGACCGGCAAACAAAACCTATCAGATGGGCAAATGACAGCCCCTTCAGCAAATAATGCTAGCAAAACTGGACCGCGACCTGTAGAAAGCTGAAGCAGGATGTTCACCTCTCACCATTCACAAAAGTCAAATCAAGGTGGATCAGAGACCTAGTGGTAAAACCCAGAACCATAAAGATCATAAAAGACAAAGTAGGACCAAGCTTAGAAGGCCTAGCTCATGGTATAAAAAGGTTAACAAATACAGCCAGAAATACAAAAGGAGAGGATAAAATTGAAGAATGGGACCTTCTAAAGATTAGGTCCTAGTGTGCATCAAAAACATTGTCAAACATAGTGAAACGAAAACCTATGACCTGGGAAAAAAACATTTGGCAATACCATCTTAGACAAGGGTATCATAACAAAAGTTTAAAGAATCCTCCAGGGCCTCCGCAAGTAAAAGAATGATAATAACCCAGTTACAAAATGGCAAAAGATATAGAAAGTCCTTTTACAGAGGAAGATGTTTGGATGGTCAACAGACACATGAAGAAAAGCTCAAAATCACTGGCAATAAGATAGATGCAAATCAGAACCACAATGAGATACTATCTCATCCCAGTAGCAGTGACAAAGTTTAACAGGACAGCAAGTAATAAATGTTGGAGAGGATGTAGAGAGATAGGAACTCTTACACACTGTTAAAGGAATTGTAAAATGGTACAACCACTCTGGAAAGTAGTTTGATGTTTACTCAAAAACCTGAACATAGAAATTCCATATGACCCAGCTATTCCACTGCTTGGAATTTACCCCGACAAAATGAGTACTGAGACACAAACGGAGACTTGCACACCAATAGCAGCTTTCATAGCAGCATTAATCACCAATGTAAGAACATGGAAATGGCCATTTACAATGAAATGGATTGAGAAATTGTGGCACATTATAATGATGGAATACTACACAGCATGCAGGGCAATGATTTAGAAAATGACTACGTAACTGGAGAGCATTATGCTAAGTGAACTAACTCAGTCCCATAATGATAAATACTGTATAAGACCATTATTGTAGGAATAGATTACTAGTAAAATTGGTATGACAATCAAAGGGGGAGGAGTAGGAGCTCAGTGGTGAGGAGGGAAGGTAATCATAGGGTTGTACAATTTAATGGGTAGAAGGAGGGGAAGGTAAAGAAAATGGGAAAAGTCCAGTATGAAAAACAATGTATAATAACTTTGTAAGCAAACCAGTAAAAAGTAAAAATCTATTTAAAAAAAATAGATCTGAAGCATTGGACTCCACTGGTCAAAGACCAGATGAGTTATGAGATGATATCAAGGATATCATCCTTGAAGAAAACAAAGGTAATTACAAG